GTGGGACCATGCAAATAAGCTGTATGTAACCCTAACGTGGGGATTGGTCAGTTTTGCAATCCCACTAGGCTTCAAATGAGCCATCCCAGAGATGGAAAGGGGATTATCTCACTACCATCAAGAAGATCCAGGAGTAGAGCACATCTTTTGGACCCAAGATCCCTGCACTGAACCTTCTCAACCCAGTGGACACAGAGAGCAGTAACACTTATTCTGAGACAGCGGGATGGCAAGAAGCTGCAGTAGAGAAACAATGGCAGCAGACCCCGACAACAGACCACCTGAGACAGTGCCAGGGCCAACCGTGTGACAGCTGAACGCCTTTAGGCAGGAGCCTTGTTGGCAGAGTGGGGGGCCTCTCTAGGCACCTATTGGCAGAGCTAAAAGCTTGGTAACACTTGCCTGAGCAGGGCAGAGGGCAAGGGACTGCAGGGTTGAGAAGCTGAGGCCCAGAAAAGCATGCCTGGGTCATGGCTGAGAAGCAGCTATCCTGATGGAAGAACTATATCCTGAGTCATTTCTCACCCTGAATTGTAACCTATGACTGCTCTAACAGGAGCTCTGGTAGCATAATGCCTAAGGTACTTGGACTGCTAACCAGAAAGCTGGCGGTTCAAACCCACCAGCCACTCCTTGGAAGGAAAGTTAGACAATCTACTTCCGTAGTGATATGCCTTGGCAACCCAAGGAGGGGTCGCTATGAGTCAGATCTGACTCGACGGCACATAACAACAACTGCTCTAACAAATCCCACAATCATGAGTATTGTCTGTGAGTTGTGTGTGGCCACTGCAACGAATTAGTGAACCCAGCGGAGAAGAGCGTGCCATGGGAGGTCTGACCTCCACCTCACAGGAATCAGCTGTGGGATGTTTATCTCGATCCTCCTCACCCTTGTGAAGTTAGATGAGGTTAGGCACCACTCCTCTCATGCCCTTTGTGCAGAGGCCAAAGTGGAATACAGTCCTGGGTTCACTGCCAAAACACCAAGTTTTAGGTGAGACAGTCCTCAGAATCATTGTGCCCAACAGACAAGGTCTCTTAAATCCTGACCAAATCCAGTGGGCACATTGACCCTTCTAAACAAAATTGCACAGATGGAGGGGGCTCAAAAATTCCCTCAAGTACATATAAATGGGCTGAGGTACAAGTACCTACTGAAAACCCAAGCCCAGCATGCTCCAATCAGTGTCTGTGTAGCAGACCTTTGGCTTGGAGGGGTATCGGCAGCCAGGGAGAAGGATTCCACTCAGCCCATGCCAGGCTAGGCCTGTGGAGTAGCTGCCCCAGAGCTGAGGAATCCTGCCCCTCCAGCCCAGCCTGCTTTCCATGGAGCAGGTTGATCACTGGGCCCCACAGAAGGCACAGTGTGTGGGTGGGACTCTGCTGAAGTCCATGAGTAGGGGTATTCAAGGGTAAACCAAGGATCATTCCAAGCTGCCAAAGCCAAAGCCTGTGCCACTGCCCCTGCCAGAGATGAGGCAAACTGATGGGGCTGGGAGGTACCATAAATCACCCTGCTCCTCTGGGCAGCCCCTCAAGAGGGCCCTGACCTTCCATGCAGACCTCTGACTCTGAAGACGGGACAGAAAGGAAGTTAAATGTTAAATATTGGCAATAGGGTCACAGACAGGACAGGCTGCCTAACATCTTTAATGGCAGAGACTTCAAAGTCTGTAGCCATCTTGGGAAGAAAGGGGTTATGAGGCCACCAGATTGCAAACGAAAAGAAGCCTGAACACGTGGCAGGGCAGCCCCAGTGCTGCACCAAGAGGCATGCAAACAGCATCTGCCCAAATCACCATCTTCCCACAGGGAGCCCCATCTTCCCTCAAGGAGCCCACCTTCTCTCAGCAAGCCTGGCCATCCTACAGGGAACACCCTCAGACAGTCTGCAGCCCCAGAGGTTTCTTTAAGTGGATGAAAAGACAGGTCTGAGGCAGAGAGAGGTGGTGTCTGGACTCGAGGCAGCCCAGGGTGGAAGAGCTCACAGCCCCACTCCCGGAGGGGGTGCCCTCCCCCAGCACCGGGGTATCTGCCACACACTCACCGCGATGCACTGCCGCATGATGCAGCTCTGCTTCATCCGTCCAGGTCCCCCGAACTTCTTCATGTCCTTGCAGAAGTGGCACTCGCCGCACTCCGTCCGCAGGCAGGCCTCGCACTTGCGGCATCGCGTCCGGCGCCGGCGAGCTCCCGCCGTGGTCCGGTTGGCAGCCAACTTCACTGCAGAGGCTGGGCCCAGCTTCCCCTTGGGCCGACCCACTGCTCGGTTCTGCAAGGGGACAGACAGGACTGGTGAAACTGGAGGCTACAAGGGCGGCAAGACCCCATTAGAGGGCATTAGCCCTACTTCTGACCACAGTGTACCCTGGAGCAAGGCCCTTGCTTCTGGCCTTTTGCTTGCTGCTGGTCAGGATGTACCACTCAAGCTTCCCCTGCCGGCCTGAGAGAATGCCAATCCCCCTCATTCCACTGGGCGAAGATGTCATGGCTCAGAGTTCACACTCTGCTTTCTTCTGGAATGCCCTCCCCCGTTCCCCATTTGCCCACCACCGATTGCCCTGCACTGGGTCCAGCCCCTCCTGTGGACACCCATCATAGTACATTCGTCATAATGATTTGTTCTTTTGCTGGTCTTCCGAGAGGCGAGCATAGGAGGGCAGTGACCATGACGTCATGTCCACCACTGAATCTCTAGATGACTGCCTAGCTCAATAAAAACTTGTGGTTTCACCAAACCCAGAGAGAATGAGATTTAATTCCAAGGTTTCTTGACTCCCTGACTCAGGGCAAGAATAACAGGTAGATGAACAGAAAACAAAACAAAACAAAAAAAAACTTCATTGCCATCAAGTTAATTTCAACTCATGGCAACCCCATGTATTACAAAATAGAACTGTGCCATAAGGTTTTCTTGGCTATAATGTTTATGAAAATAATCTTTGGTAGTAGCACCGTGGTTAAAGCATTTGGTTGTTAACCAAGAGGCAGCAGTTCAAACCCACCAGCTGCTCTGCAGGAGAAAAATGAAGTCTGCGTCCATGAGACTGACATCCTTGGCAGCACAACGGAGCAGCTCTACTCTGTCCTATATGATCGCCATGAGTCAGAATTAACTTGATGGGTTTGGTCTTAAAACGTTTATTGAAACAGATCACCAGAACTTTTTTTCCACAGTGCTGCTGGGTGGGTTTGCACTGTCAACCCTTCAGGTCAGTAGTCAAACACAAACCATTTGTGCCACCCAAGGACCTAAACAAAAACCAAACCAAAGTGGTTAATTCCTCTGTCAGGGGCACATTACTCACCCAAAATGATCTAATTGGCATCGAAGGCTCAGAGCTCTTTTTCAGCTCAAATAACCTCATTCACATTTCAGTTTTTGGTCACGCTTGGCTCCCTAAGCAAAATACCCCCTCCCTTTAGCTAACTCCTGTGTCCAGAAGTACTGTTACTTTATCCCAAAACTGTGAAGAGGGTCTGCCTTCCAGATCCCCTCTCCCACAACACCCCCCCAGCAACTGCCCAACACCACAGCGAAGAAAAACCATCTATCTGCCTCCCCAGTTTATAATCTCCCCCTCGTCAATTCCCACATCAATTCCCTTTATAGTGTGGTGGTACCTACAGAGAGCTGGCAAATTCGCACACCATTGACTGGCCCGCTTTCTTGCCGACAACCTAAGCTCTTCACTGGAATTAGTTGCAGCATCCATGAAAACCACCAGGTTGCTGATAACTGGAATGTCTGCCTCAGGGGCACTACTGCTCTAAACTCTGTCCCACTCAACTTTCTCTTCCCTTCAAAAAGGAAAGGAGCCATCGTCTGCCCCCAGCCAGGCCTCTCCCCAAAGGGACCTTGGGCACAGCCCAGCCACAGGCCCTGCCATGGGGAGGTACCTGAGGGCAAGCCTAGGACTGAGAGGCCACCTGTGGGTGCCAGCACACAGACCAGTTGCCCTCAGAAAAGGGGCAGTGTGGTATCAGGCTGCTCTTCATTCAAGCAGCACAAGGTTTTACACTAGTCCTTACACAAAACCCCAGTGAGGTCTGGGCGCCTTCTAGTCACACACATTAACAATGTCACAGCAAACACTAAGTTAAATAAGTAGGATACACAGTGTCAAGTCAATTCAGGCCAGGTTTTACTGCCAATGAACAGGGAGGAAAAAAAAAAAAAAGATCCATTTTCAGAGCTTTGTGGATCTTAGAACTGCACACAGGGACTCTGGACCTGACAACAGCTGACCAAAGAGTAAGAATGCCAAGTAGAAGCAGCAGCAGTGATGACAGAGGCAAGGACGGGAGTCACAGCAGGCATCTGCCTTCTACGTGCAGGTCTGTGTTCATCATTGCATGTGTGATTGTACCTCATGTCCCCAGTAACAGCCCTAGCAGATGGATTATCAATGCTCTCATTTTCCTGATGAGGAAACTGAAGCTAGAGATTCTTCACCTCCTAACACTCTAAATGACAGTGGATGTACTTGACACATAGGTGAGGGCCCTACACAGCCCAAGAGACTGACCATATCTCCTGGAGAGGTTCACATTTAGTGCCAAGATGCCCTTACAAGAAAGGTCCAGGACAGGTTAAACAATTAGGTATGTCTAAATGGGGAGCGTATCCAAGATCATATATAGGGTTGGCAGAAAATGGTCCTATAAGTTTATGTGAATGATCAGAAATCCCAGGTGTATAGTAGAGCTGACAAGGGGCAAGGTTATGGTCATTGCTTGGTCACAGCCAGCTACCCAGAGCAACCGAGTA